TTTTTTTTTTGTCCTTTTGAGTTCAGGCTGGCCTTGAACTCACTTTGTAGCCCAGGCTGGTCTCAAACTCAAAGCCATCCTCCTGCTTCAGCCTCCTGAGTTCTGGGATTATAGGCATGGGTCACCACGCCTGGCTGAGTTTGAGTTTTTGTAAAGTAATGGATTGTTGTCCTGCAATCAACTATTTCAGGACATTGTGTTTACAATCAAGAGAGAGAGCTCATTTCCTCAACCCTGAAAATTGGCCTTGGGACATTTAGATATGATTCACTCCTCAGCTTGGATTATACTCATTCTTAGGGCTTGTGGCCCTAAATAAACTAAGGAAGCAGAGAAAGGCTTCTTGATTTCTGGCTTGGGGATAGAACATATCCCCAAGTTACAAGGGGCGCACAGCAGAGTCTGATCCTGCACACTCGTCACCAGTTTTCGGTCCCACAGAGCCCCATGTTCCTGATAGGGAGTGCTCTCGCTCTTGCATATGAATCCCAGTGCTGGCCTCCGATGGCATGAGTAAAAGACCATTCCATCCTTCTCTCGATCTCATTCAATACTGGGTCAGGTTATAAAAGACATTATAGAGCACAGCTGGATATGATACAGTCTTCTGTGATTAAAAAATGCCACTATTGTTGGGCAGATAGCTGAGCAGCATAAGCCCCTGCCTGGCAAGTGTTTTGGTACTGAGTTCCATCCCCAGCACCAAACGAAAAAAAAAAAAAAAAAAAAAAAGGAAAGACAAAATTGTATTATAGTACTGTATATATTCTTTAAGCTCTTTGGTGAGGGATGAGAGGCTACTCACAAGTAAAAAGATGAACTCAGACTAGAGCCTTCCATTGGAACTTTTGCAGCGGTGGAAATGATCCTTTTTTCCTCATTTCACCCAATAGGTAATTGAGCACTTGGCACGCAGCTATGCAACTGAGGAGCTGAGTTTCTAATTTTATTTATTTTAATTTTTTGCTACTGTGGATTGAACTCAGGATCTTGCATTTGCCAAACAGGCACTTAGGCAGGCACTTATGTCACTGAGCTATCTCCCCAGCTCTCTAATTTCCTTTTTTTTTTTTTCTGTCAGAATTAAATTTTAAGTTCATGTTTGTATCATCCAGCAGTTGAACAGTTAAATTCATCGTCTAAAGCTCTCTAATTTTAATAAATAGAAAACTACATAACTTCCGGTGGTTAGCAGCTACTTCACTGGAGCACCCCAAAGGCCGTCCTTCACAAATAAGGCTCCGAGATGCCAACCCCGCCATGCATCTAAGACTTGGAACTTAGGAAATTAGAGCTGTGCTAAAGTAGATTTTTTTTTTTTTTTTTTTTTTTTTTT